TTCTTCCTATTTCTGGAGTACACCACATTCATTCCTGCCTCAAGGCTTTACTCTGGCCTTTTGCTCAGCCTAGAAACCTCTTCCCCCAGATCTTCTCCTCTCTGGCTAATCCTCTTACCTGAAACAGCTTTCCTGCATCTCTCCACATTACACTGCTATATTTTCAAGATAGCATTTACCATTGTGTGAAATTATCCTATTCATTTGTTTACTTGTTTTTGTTGTTTATTATCTATCTGTCCCCAAAAGCATGGAAGCTCCCTGAGTCAAAGAAGTATCTGTCTCATTCACCTCCGGAACCCTACCACCAAGAACACTTTCTAGCACAGAATATACTTTTTGAGTGAATGAATGAGTTCAAATCATAGCAGCATACAGTTATGGGGTGATTTACAAGTTCAAATTTATTGCAGCTTCACAGTTACTTAAAACCATGGTTCTAAATTTTGCAAAAGACTCTTCTTTTTCTTACCTGAAAACACAAGATAGAGCTTAGTTTACTTCATACAGGTTATCTGCTTCATTTTCAAGCCGACATACAATCTGTTTTTAAATGAATGCTAATCTTCTGATCCAGATAAACAGCTTTCAAGGAAGTATAGCATTATGAAAATGGGAAAATATGTCATATTCATAGTCAGTATGAGTATCAGCGCGTCTCAAACATCAATAACCATTGGTTGTTAATTCTTTAAGAATATGGGAGCAGGCTTAATGTGGGAGAAGGAAGCTATATTATGTCAAATTTCTTGTAGAAAGGGAAAAGATGATGACAAACATCAGTTTTGTTAATTATCTAAGCAGCAAGCTAACGTCCTTTGAAAAGGACTCCAAAGATAAACATTGCAATGGCTACACCAGTTCCCATCAGGGACACCTGGCTGAAGGAAAGCTGTAGCCACTCAACCACAGGAAAGCTCATTGCAGTTGCCAAAACTGTAGTGACCAATGACATCTAAAGACTGTAACCACCTCCTCACAACATGCCTTTGTTCTCAGGTTTTCACATATGTGACTCCATTTGGAGCTCTCCCGACACGACAGTGTTTCACTGGTCCCTGAAAACATGCTAAAGACAAGTATTAGAACCTTGGAAAATATGAGCCTTTCTTAGCCTCTGCACCTTCTCTGAGGAGTGGAGCAAGACCAGCCCGCACTCAGTGTAAATTAGAGGGTTTTCTGGCTGAGCCATGAAAAAGAAAAAGAGGTAATATTGTACTTTCCTGTCACTGTGCATATGAAATAGCTATTATGCTAAGAGAAGCTTTATGTGACCCCTAGGATAGAAATCTTCAAAACTATGAAAAAGTCATCTTAGCTGAATTTAGTTGACTCACTCCTATATTACATATGTATAGGAAAAGGATTAGAGGTCATTCAATCACAAAATGTTTCTTTCTAGATTTCATTTTAAGGCAGTCATGGCATAGCAATTTCAAACTTATACATGGCTTTAATGGTTTCATTTTCTTACTCTCAGACAAAATATTTAAATTCAGGTCTATTTCTGCAAAAGACCAAGACTTCAAAAATAGATATCAAGACAGCCAAGCATATTTAAAGACAACAGGCATCAGATACTGCTAAAAATGATTACAATACACTTTAGAAATTAACCTTAGGCCAATTCCACCAGGAGACCTATGGATAGGTTCTCGATAAGCTAGCTATATAATGAGTATCATGGAAGTGACAATCAGATAAGAAGTTACAAGGTTATGAGAGCCGTTAAGTGTCTCCCTGAGTATCTGCAAGGCATTTCTACACCTACAGCATCCACCGCAGCCTACAGATTGCAATTTCACTTTAGGTTGGTCATGTAATCATGAGATGTTACTGCATTATTGATAAACCTGAAAAAAAAAGTCAAGCCCTTTTAAAGTCATCATACCACTTAGCACAGTACTTCCACCCGAGTTACAGCTAAGAGGTAAAATGATGAGAAAGATTTTCTTATACTTACAGCTGATTCCACACTCACATGAAAATTAGAACTAAACCCACTGCATTTGATAAGCATCCTTTGCAGTAGTAAATTTTTAAAAGAACAGAAAAAGAATAAAAAGAGATAGGAAAATAAATCAATCTAAAGTAATTGGGAAAGATAACTGGATAATGAAGAAAAAAATCCTCCATAGCAACAAAATAGAAGAGATTATTTATGTAGATTTACAAGTAGATGAGCTCCAGATGTATTTTTTTTAAATCTACTTCTCCCCAGGTGTTTTTCTGCTTAATAAATATAACATCCAAGTTGGAATATTGTTGAAGCATTGAATCACCTAAATTTTGCCTATGTTCTTCTGCTGTTAACTATTTTGAGCTATTTCTCAAGAAGGCAGCCGCTACTGAAATCATAAGTACATAAGCTTGGCAGAGACAGAGAGAAAAAGTGTAGTCCACAGATTTGTTTCTTCTGTTTTCCCAAAACAGAATCTCATAAAAAATATGCCCTCAAATTTTGTCACTATGTAGCTGTCAGAAAGAGAAATTCTGCTCCTCTTCAAAATTCTTAACATTAAACCCATTTCTGCTGTTACTGGGAAGTTATATAGCTCCAGGAAGTGGTGAGGCACCATCGCAACTGTTCAAATGGTATCCAGGCAGAATAATCAGTCAATCAGAAACTTCAATTCCAGTCGGATGGAAGCTTTTTGGGCCAACTTGGAAAAGCATACAGAACAAGTTTGACTTTACTGCCAAGATCATTTCCAGGACACTGGCTAATTAATTATAAAAGCTTTTTCAAAACAAATTTGAGCCTGGCAACTTTTTTCCCCTACTCAAGCAGAGAAAAAAATAGGTTAAAAAATAAAAGCCTGGGTTTATTGGGGTTTTTGCCATACCTTCATCTTCTTTGCAAGCCCATTTTCTTCTTCTCACTCTACAATGATCCAGGAGCTTTTGTATTTGAAGTTACTAAAATACTAAGTATAGAATCTGGAAATGTGAGTTTGAATTCCTACTCTACCTTTGGTTGTAGAAGAGATCATGGTCAGTTACAAAGCTTCTCTTCAAATTCTTTGGTGGGAAGCAAAGAATGGAGTTTCTTCCTCTTTGGGGGATGAAGAGCCCATTGGATTAACTATGGCTACTGTAATAGACCCAATGTAGATGAAGAGCTGCTCTTGTGACGATATACTCATCAAATTTCACTTTCTAACCTTGAAAACAAAAGGAACAAAACTCTTGAATTAAATCTTCCTGGTTTCATCTTAACATGAGCCTTGACGAATATGAGATGTTAGTGACAGGTGCCAAAAATTCCGGTTTTAAGGACTGCAATCACACAGGTTTTATAGCAAAATCAACACCCAAAAATCATAATGTTCCAATATATTTCTTCTAATACTGGAATCAAAATCTTATATAATACATATCTTGAAGCCATCAAATCTCTTCTGCATATGCCCAGATATGAAGACACCCAAGAAGGTAAGAAATTTCTCTCAGCCAGCATGTACCAGCTGCTTATTGGTAAATTCCCAGCAAGAGAAGAATTGTCCCTAATAAAAGAAGATTTCCTCAAAAAGTCTGTCTACCAGATTTTCCTAACTCTGCCTTATCCAGTATCAAGCGCCCAGCCTTATCCAGTGTCAAGACCCCCGGCAAACCTCATAATTGGAACGTTGCTTGGTAAATACTGAATGGAGCCAAAACGTGCCAAATAGTTTTGAGGGCAATTCTCAACAAGTCCTAGTGGATTGAGTTTTCCCTTTTCCCCTACTGGTAGCTACTTACCAATGTATCCAATATTTAAATTATCTTCTCCCTGATCATTTCAAGAGGTGGGCAAATGGAAGGGAGGAGAGCTATCTATATTAGCACATGAAGGGAGAGCAGTTCTAGGAGTCAAGAATTAATCTCAATGTAAAGGGGTAGATAATTCTGCCTGACCAAAGCAGTGTCCCTCTTCTGGGGAACACAAATAAATTAAGATGAGAAGGATAACACCAGATTTCAGAGAATCTTAAAACTTGACAGGAAGCCATTATAAGCTTTTGATCCAGGAGAGAAATATGAGGCAATAATATGAAAAGTGTATTGAATTGAGAGAAAATAGAGACAACAGATTAGGTCAAAAATTTTTTCTAGCAATCCAGTCTGAGATGATGAAGGCCCGATTAGGGTGCTGCTGGTGAGAAGGAAAAGGAAGAAAAAATCCAAAAGCCATTTCACAAGAAAGAACATAATTTCATCTATCTTATACTTTTTAGAATTCACCAAGGCCTATAAACCTCTGTCACTACTATAATTGTTGCCAGTTAAAAAGGAACATCATCATAAATAGGGCTTCATTGCCTTAGGAATATATAATTCAGATTTCCTTATTTATCCAGGTAGAATTTTCACCCAATTAGTCCAAATAACTGGGTTTTTTTTAAGTCGAAGTGCAAAATTACACGTACTCACCATTTGTCTATTTTCAAGCCCAGATACCCACCTAACTGGGAAAATGGCCCAGTTTCCACCATATTCTTTTTAAAAGAAAACAAATCGAGATTCAAAACCTAATTGCTCTTCATTTCAAATAGGCTACTTACTATATGTTTTAATAGACAAACAAATATACAGCTAACAAGACTAACTATCATTATCTCAGCCTAAAGTATCCCTCAAAAGTTAACAATTGCCACATTTCTTAGCCCTTTATAGTTTATCAATGCACCTTTTCATAAATTATCTCAGGTAATCCTCACAATAACCCTAAGGTAGGGATTATTATTACTATCTTAAAGTTGAGACAACTACAGCTTCAAGATTTAAATTCCCGAGAGAATACATCTGTACTGGCAGAAGTCAAGACTTTCATTCTTATCTTCTGAACTTCAAATCCTTTCACATACTGCTTCCCCTTCCCTCAGAGAAAGAGCAAAACCCCTCATCTACACATATTGGTTCATTTTAAGTTAGGGAACCATCATTTCTAATCTTTTCCCAGTGTCTTCTAGATATACATTTAATCTTACATTTCGAAGAAGCAAGAATTCTTTGCTTACCTGGTCTTTCTCTGGTTTATCAGAAATGTCATTCAAACTGGAGGAAGTCAGATTCCTGTGGGTCATGGCTGGGCTACCTGGAAAAACAAAAGTGAACCCAAATTAAAGACTTCTTTTCAAAAACACAAAGACTTTGGTTGTCTACTTCATAAACACTAGTAGATGATGATGGGCATGGTGATGATGCTTTAGCCATGTTAGGAATCTCCTGAAGAGTTTTCCAGATGCCAGGTTGGTGCACAAACATGGTAAAGTATGTAAAATCCCAAATATCATGTTTAAGTCTAACTGACTGGCTGTATTTCAGGATAAGTTAAAGTTTGAAAGAAACATCTAAAACAATAAACATTAAAATAAATTTACTCCTTGTTTGGTTTGCTTTTTGTCACTGCCCTTTATCTCATCTACCTGGTGTCCTTTCCTTTCCCCATCCCCTGCAGAGAGGGGCTCTTACCTCATGTCAGCAGAGGTGGCCCCAGGACCAGGCCTGGACCTCATTTCCCCAAGGCCTCTGCAGTCCTTCCTAGGGCCCCACTCACTCTGATCAACCCAAAAAGCCATCTGCATTCCTTTCTCTGGCTATCACTTTAATCAGGAATATTTCTCCTGACCCAGAATCTCCATTCTTTGCCTCAAAGTAGTGTTGTCACGGGGTCCCTTACTTCCTGTTTTCCATTTGCCAGACTAAAATAAGCATACCCCTTCTTCCTCCTTAACAAATAAATTCTCACTCTAGTCAAGGGATGGGTTCCATCAGGAATACTTCACAGGGACCAAACCCTCTGGCCATATAGCTGCTGTAGGTAAAACCCATGGCAATCCAGCCAATGACTTCAGAAACCATTATGTAAGAACAGAGAAGAGGGACATCTAGAAGAGTGACAGACTATTTTCAGGTAGACTATGTTAATCAACAGAATACTGAACTTTCATTCTGTGGTTGGACTTGAAATTTCTAGGCTTACTAAGCAAAACAGTAACTTTTCAAAGCCAGGGTGTTTGACCCAACCCTGGCAGGGTGCTGAGTAACGCATTCATCATTAATCCTCAATGATCTGACTCAGGCTGGTCTTCACCAAGAGGACAAGGGTTGAAAAACAAGCACAGAAGTTCGAAAATATCTTCACGTTTTCTTCCAAGTAATTCTTTAGATTACAGACTTTAATTCCTTCAGATAGAAACTTCAACACATAATTTTACGAAAGACTAAAATCTACTTCTAATAATTTAATGTCTATATAACAGCAGCTTTTTAAATAATATAATTGTCTTTAACTACTAGATTAGAAAAATCATAATTTTCTTGAGCTGGCAAGATGGTATTTTCCACTCTGCTGCATTTCATTGAGCAAGCACGGCCTAGATCTCTTAAACCCTTTACCTTGTGGGATGTTTTATTCTAGGAAAATTTGAGTACAGGGCATTTTTCAAAGGAAAGTAACATCTGAAAAACTGCTTTATGAGCAAAATTAAAAGAAACTCTTTGAGGGCCACAGTTTCTTCTGTGAACTGCATACCAGGTTTCCAGTGTCCACGCAACACAAAAGATGCCAGCTACAAACACGAATACCCCTAAATAATACTGGGCTTGAAACTAACTGGAAATGATGGGTAGGTATAATTTTACACTTTACATTAAAAAACAAAACCAGTTACTTGGACTATCTGAGTGAAAATTCTACCTGAATAAGTAAAGAAATCTGAACCATATATTCCCAAGGCAATGAAGCATTAGCAATTCTAACCATAAGTTAAAAGTAGCTTATGTAAATAAACAGATAAAGCTGATTTCTAATTATAAATCAATTGTATGTAAGTGGCAGTACTGAAATAATTTGAAAGCAGTTTTTCATTAAGTAATTTAAATTTCCTGGGCAATATCCTAAACTCACTGACTTGCTTTGGAGGCTCTATAAATACCGCAAAAATACATTTCAACCCAACCACTGTCCTAACTGCTGCAAAATCTGAATAGATAGAAGTCAAATAAATAAAGTTTTTATTATAAGGTAATCTTGATTGATGTCATAACTCTTCCAAGAATCCTCATACACTGTCTCATCATTTCTCTTATTTCTAAGAGACAGTTATAGCATAGCTATCTATATTTGTACTATATGGGGGGCAAAGAAAGGCATAGGTCCAGGTAAGGAAGAGTAGGCCACTGTTAAGAAACAATCAAATCTATTGTCCCTCCTAACCTTATCTGATTCTCATTAATAAAAGTAATATTAACAGCTTCACTGATGTTTAACTTTGTAACACAGTGGAAGAATTTGAAAGTCAACTCTTCTGGGTAAAAACCCTAAGCAAGATGATAAGCAGTCTTCAATCTTTTCCCACCTCTCTCCCTAGCAAACTCCCCAACCCTACACCCTAACACCTTGAACCAGACACAAATGTTTCCCAAAGCAGTGGTTCCCAAAGTGTGGTCCCCAGACCAACAGCATCAGCATTACCTGAGTACTTGTTAGAAATGCAAATTCTTGGGACTCACCCTAGACCAACTATATCAAAACTCTGGGTATAGGACCCAGCAATGCAGGCTTTAACAAACCTTCAAAGTGATTCTGAAGCATGCTAATGTTTGAAAAATAAACCAGTTTTCTTAATACAAGAGTGTGTCCAGCAGGAATCCGAACTAAAAAAAAAAAATATAGTAGCCAGAGAGGTAGTTCTGATAACCTTGCCCTCCTCCAAGCCACTGTTCCAAACCATGACATCTCAAGCAAATTATTAAATTAGCATCCTCGCCACATAAACACACAAAAGGGATCATACTTGGTTTTCCTCTAAATCCTCACCTACACAATCAAATAAATACATAAGTTTCTTTGGAAACTCATTGTTTAATCAGCCTTTTCCAGAAATATATCACCCAAATCAAAGAAAACAAGGACAAGAGCCAAAAGAGATTACAAACCAGATTATATCTGGGAATCAGAAATTTGTGTCTGGCATTTTAGCAAACCCTGGAAGCTGTTACACAACTAGTTCCTAACAATGTTCTACTGTGGATATTTTGCACCTCAAATCAATAAGACACATTGTCAGAATAAATCAGTGCTTTCTATTTAGACTTTTGGCCTATAATGTAAACTTATTATACTGTAATCCTGAGTGAGTGGGATTACTAGAGAAAAATGTCACCTTCTACTAAAAAGGTGAAAAAGGTGTCAGAGCTCTGTGACACAGCAAGAGTAACCTAAAGTGTGCTACTTCTTTTGCAGGTGGAGATTCATTTACTCAAAGCTACCACTAGTAGGCCCTTTCCATCTAAAACCCAGGGCACACAAATGTCTTATAACTGTTCTTGGTCCAAACAAACTTTGTTTTTTTAAGCTTGATTTTCACAAGAGAAGAAGAAGAACCAGCCTCGAGTGTATAATTATAATTAATTTCCATATCACTCTTTTCTGGCCATAAGAAAAAGAAAGCTTTGGAGAAATACATTTTCAAGCAGTTTCACACCATCAAAAACAATTTCATTTTCAAAGTACCCATTTGGCAGGTACATACTGTCTTCTATAAAAATTAATTGCATTCTGTACCAAGTTTTAAAATCATTGTTATTCGTTAGCACACATGTAGCAATTCATAAAGTTCTTTGCAATTATATCTATTAGACACAATATAAAGGGGTGAGGAGAATGTACAGCATAGAAAGAGCATGATATTTACATGTGTACATAGTAGATAAAAATGTAAATATATATATAATGTAATGATACATAAACTCTCTCCCCCACCTCATACCTTTATAATGAACCAATAGAGAACCTAGGAACAAGCTAAAACAAAGATCAACTGGCCTATGAAATAAATTGGTCTTTTATTTTTTAAAGCCAAAGTCCTTTTTTTTTTCTTTTTCTTTTTTTTTTTTTTTTGTGAGGAAGATCAGCCCTGAGCTAACATCCATGCTAATCTTCCTCTTTTTGCTGAGGAAGACCAGCTCTGCGCTAACATCTATTGCCAATCCTCCTCTTTTTTCCCCAAAGCCCCAGTAGGTAATTGTATGTCACAGTTGCACATCCTGCTAGTTGCTGTATGTGGGATGCAGCCTCAGCATGGCCAGACAAGCGGTGTGTCGGTGCGCGCCCGGGATCTGAACCCAGGCTGCCAGTAGCGGAGCGCGCACACTTAACCGCTAAGCCATGGGGCCGGCCCTTATTTTTTAATAATAATTAAATAATATTTTTAGCATGAAAAATAACTAAGGTAACTTACATATAACAGACACATAAGTGAATCTGGGTGTTAATGTCAGAAAATTCAGAGGTATGGGTCTGATTTGCATGGCTTGAAACCACAAAACTAACAATAAATGTAGTTTCAGAATAATGCATGCTAATGTGTTCTGTACTCCACTGACTCACTGATATTCTTTTTTCTCCCTTTGTTGACATAATAAATCTACTAGAAAATGTCTGTAACTAAGATTAAGGGTCAACTAACATTTTTGAGTACTAGGTACTTTAACTTACGTTATCTTACTTAATCCTCAAATAAATACTTTGCGGCTAGTATTATTATTACCACTTTATACATAAACAAAACGGACTTCAAGGAGGTTAAGTTCAAGGTCACACAGCAAGTGGTAAAAATCATAACTTAAACCAGGATCTCTTAATACTAATCCCACTGCCTCTGAGAAAAAACTGGCCTATGTTATTTACAAAAATTAACAAATAAACTTCATCATTTCTAATGAAGAGAAAATTTAATGTACAACCACAAAGAATATATTCTATTTCCATGACAATTATGTGCAATATAATATAACTAAGGATGTTTAAGACAGAAATGTTCTTGGTTTTCAATTTGGCTGTTCCCAAAGATGGAGTTTGCATTTCTTTGTTTTTTCATTTTCATAAAGAAAAAAGGGAGAAAAATATTGAACTCAGCTACTCTGTTTGCCACTGTGATTAAATAGTAGCCCAAAACCACAGCTCTGTGAGAAAGAAGAAAGGATGCTAAAAGCAATACCAATGTAATTATAAAAGCAATAATGCCACATGCTTCTGAATGTCCTAATTCATAGTCATAGCCAAGTGTTTGTAAAATTCCACAAAGTACA